AAGGCTCGAAGGGACGACAGAGCTTTTTCTGGCAAGGTGAAGCTTTGGTCGTGTGAACGGTACAAGGGCTCAGCTAACTGGGACCAGTGCTCGACAGCGAAGGGAATGGGCACAGACCCTTCTTGCCCAGGGAGGAGCATCCACAGCAGCAGCAAGGGGAGGGCTGGCTCCTCTCTCCTTCCTCACCAACAGAAAACAAAATGCCCAACGCAGAACACTTCCAGTCCCGCCGCTATCAAGTTTTGGGGCACAGGTGAAGGGTTTTGGTGATGGCAGGGCCAGCAAAGGGGTGACTGACACCTCGGCTCCTCCCTAACTCCCATCCAGCTCACCTTGGCCGAACGAGGCGATGCTCTTCTTCAGCGCGTCGAGGTCGCACGTGAACCGCGCCACCCTGCCCAGGTCCTCGTCGTACTTCCGTTCGCTCACAAAGTGCTTCACAGAAAAGGCAAAATGCGCATATTAACTCAGTCTGCACACAGGAGCAGAAAATGGAGGTGAAACCCTCCCATTTTGGACCAGGAACAGGTATCCGAGTTGGGTGCTGCTTGAAAAAAATCTTGGTGAGAAGGCAGATGGCTACAAGAGCTTACGGAAATAGAAAACCAGATTTTTTCAGCCCGTACACAAACAGCCTTCCCCAGGCCCCAGCAGCCAAGCCATAGGTTAACTCAGACCAACAGCAGCTCCGCTCTGCCCGTCTCCAGTCTGTGAAATGGGCACAGCCCGGGTCTCTGGACGCTCACAGGGGCAACAGGTTTCTCAGCTGCACTAATCCTGCTACGGGGGCGAGCAGTTTTCGTTTTCAAACTGGAGTTTAATTGATGCAACTTCGCACTGACCTCTTGTGGCAGCAGCCGGCGTGCTGGAGAGCAGAGGTGTTTTACGGAATATAAAAGCCGCTCACGCGCAGCAGGCAGGCTCTGCCGATTTAGGGGGAAAGGCAGAGGTCAGCCTGCGCCGGCGGGAGGTTTTCACAACTGCTCTGAGCACAAAGCTGCGGCCTTGCCGCGTTCCCTGCTCTCTGCCAGTTCACAGTGGCTGAAAGTTAGGCTGCATGCACCGGGGTTAACGTCTGGATGATTGGTTGTTGGCTGAAGTCAGTATTTTACAAACCAAATATTTTAAATTAAGGTGTCCCGTACCCTGTCACGGACAGCAGCGTGCAGAGCACTGGCGGTGAATTCGAGAACTACAGACGCAAGGAAAGACTTGCGCACAACACAAAATTGCATTCAGAAGCGTCAGAAACCCAGAAGGTTACTAAAAAAGCGTACCGCCGTTGAGAATTGTTAGGATTAATAGCCTTGCTTAGCACAAGAAGCTAAAGTAGTTGAAGCCTTAAGCCGCAAGAGCTGTCTGAGAGTAAACTTTCTGATAAAACTAATGCTGGAAACACAGAACTTGCTGAATCCGGCAGATACGAGTGGAATGAAGAGGATAAGGACCAAGGAAACAATTCCAAGAGAATGAGGTAACTTCAGAAGAAGGCCGGCCCAGTGACCAAGAAACCCAGTAAGAAATCAAGAGACCACCGACCAGAATTAAGGGGCTGGACTTGGGGATCAGGTGCTGGGGGGTACGGGTATAATTGGGGTGCGCGATCTGGGGTAGGGGTCTCTCCTCGGAGGCACCCAGCTCGAGCTGCTCTGCATGTCGGATAAATAAACCATTTATTTACTCAGTGGATTGGCGACTCGTCTTCTTCGAGCAGGAACCTAGGGCCAAGCCCTGCTGAGGTGGCATCTGTATAACTCCTACCATGGACTAGGTGGTGGCTGCGTAATTCCTGCAGCATCACATTGGGGTGAGATTAGGTTGGATTAGACAGAAGCGGAGGGAAAAGCTCACCTTTATGTCAGCTCTGAGCTCGACCAGCTGCTCCTCCGACATTCGCACTGCCACATCAGTCATCTTCTTCAGGGCTTCTGCCTTCTTCTGGCGGCTGACCAGAATTTCCACTGCAAAACAGAGCACAGCTTAGGCAGTGTCGACACCGAACCAGCCTACCCAGAGTTAAACAACCCCAGCCCCGGCACGCAGCACTTTATTAGTAAAGAATAGGCTCCCCCGAGTTCCCCCCGGACAGCTCCGTGCCAGCTGCACAGCAGCCCCGGCCGCTCCCTCCTGCAGCGATTTACATCTCCAGACACAGACTGAACCTGAGCTGTAAGCTGACTCGACGAGGGGCACGACACGCAGCTTCAGCAGAAGCTTTGCCGCTCTCCCCAGGCTAACTGCTTCCTTGCCACCCCCTAAACCTGGGGCTCGGTGCTGGTGGTGTGGGTGTCCCTTGCGGATCACTTCCCACCCGCACCAGGCGAGCTGAGAAAGCCCCTTCCAGCTCCCCAGGAACGCTGAGATTTTCAGGAATGGCCTCCGATGGAAGAGTGCAGTTTATGTCCCATCCTCTAATGAGGGCACAGAGCAACGGCCTCGAAGAGGATGGGTGCTGTCAACCGTGCCAGCAGCAAACATAACCTAGTCACAATATATACTGTTAACTCAAGCTATAGGGCAAGTTCTGTTTAGGTATAGAGCCACGTATTTAGGAACAATGTGAACAGGAGGTGAGTCACAGAAATCTGCTTCTAGGGGGGGTCTCTTCAGGGCGCAGCAACACCTACAGCTCTTCAGGTGGGCACTTGTTGGTAGAAAGACAAGAGTCTTACTTGCTTCTGCTTTCACTTTGTCCATTTCAGCCAGCAACGCCACCTCGCGATCCATAAGGCTGGGGGGGAAAAATACAGAAAAAGGGAAGAGGTTTAGTATTAAACAAAGAGGACAACGAAATCCTACCGCAAGAACAGCGGCGGGAGGGTTTCCAAGCTCTTCAGGTGGGCACTTGTTGGTAGAAAGACAAGAGTCTTACTTGCTTCTGCTTTCACTTTGTCCATTTCAGCCAGCAACGCCACCTCGCGATCCATAAGGCTGGGGGGGAAAAATACAGAAAAAGGGAAGAGGTTTAGTATTAAACAAAGAGGACAACGAAATCCTACCGCAAGAACAGCGGCGGGAGGGTTTCCAAGCGTGCCGGCCAGCGGGG